ATTAAATTTTTTATAAATGAAAATATTAATATTATATTAAAGTTAAAAAAAGTAAGATTAAAAGTTATATGAAATTTTTTTTAAAAAAAGGAAAGTTTTTTAAAATTTAATATTTTATTTTTAAAAGTTTTAACGTTTATAAATACCTTTAAAATTATAACGAAAAATGAAATTTATTATTACGTTATTAACTTTTAATTTATAAATAAATTTACGAAAATAATCGATAAATATAATTATTAAGAAAATAAAAAAGTATTATAAATATTTAAAAAAGATAAAATATTAATAAATATAATTAATAATTAAAAAAAGAAGTTAAAAATAAAATATATTTATCTTTTAAAAGTTAAAAATAAAAAATTTCTCGATTAAACATTTAATGCCATGCATTTTAAAAATAAAATAAATTAATAAAAAAAAGTAATATTATTCGGTTATTTATATTTTATAGTTTAAAAATTAATTAACGGTAAAAAGAAAAAATGTATAATTATTAATTTAAAAGTTTTAAATAAATGTGTTTTATTAAATATATATTTTTTATCGTTATAAAATAAAATTATTTAAAAAATATAAAAAAAATGATATTTTATTATAATAAATGGAATAACATTTTATTATTAATTTTTAATTGTTATAAAAAATTGCGATAAAATAATAATAATTTTACTTTAAAGTTTTAAAATTTTAAATATCGTTTTAATAAATTTTAAAAACTTTTTTATTTATGAATAATAATATATAAATTACTTGTTAAAATTATTAAAAAAGTTTATTAAAGTTTATATAAACGATATTATTATTTTTTTAAATATAAAAGAATAATATTAATAACATTTAATAAAACTTTTTCGTCGTTACGAAAATGTCGATTTAACTTTTAACTTTAAAAAAATATTTATAAAATATTTAATAATTATATTATTAAGATTTATAATAAATAATTTAAAATTAAACGTTATAAAAAATCGTATTTTAATAATTTAAAAACTAAAAATGTTAATTATTTTATTAAAATTCGAAATTTATATTGAATTTATAAATTTCTTACGAAAATATATCTTTTATTATTAATAAAAAATAAAGCCGTTTTAAAATAAAAAAACTACATTATTAAATAAAAGATAAAAAAACTAAGAATTACTATTATTTTTAAAAAAACGAAAAGGATACATTACAAAAATAAAATTCGAACTAATGAAATTAAAAAAAAAATTATTCTTAATTTTATAAATATAATTTTATAATTTAATAAATTTAAATTATTAAAAATATAATCGACAAGTTTTTTTAAACATTAACGCTTTAAAATAAATAAAATTTAAAGTTATAATATTTTATTTAAATAAAAAATAAAACGGTTAATTAATAAAAGTTAATAAAGTAAAATTAGTAATTTATTTTTTAAAAATCTTAACACGCGTAAAATTTTAATATAATATTACGAAATTAGAAATAATATATTTAATTTAATTATATCGTTTAAATCGTATTTATTTATAATTTTATACGAAGATTATTAAAATGATTATTAATTATAAATTAATATAAAGGATAATAAATTAAATATCTTTAAAAATAACCGATATAAATAAAATAAATCCGAAATTAATTATTACTTTAACTTTTTTATTTTAATTTAATTTAAGAATATATTATATTATTAATAAATTTAATTTAATATTAAATGTTTTATTAAAATTATTTATAATTTATAATATTTTAAACGTTAAAAAAAAAACATAAAAAAATAAATTAATACTTGAAAACGTTATAAATAATATTATAATAAATAATAACGAAATAATATATTTTATGTTAAAAATTAAAATATTAATAAAATTTCGTAACTAAATTATAACTAAATATAAATATAACCGAAAATTAAAAAAAATAAAAAAAATTTTAATAAAAACGAAACGAAACAAAAAAAACACAACTTAATAATACCGATATAAATTAAAAAATAATTTAATATATTATATTATAATAAATAGTAAAAAACGCTTTATAATTTTATTAAATTATATTTAAAAACTTTTAACTTTAACTTATAATATAAAACATTATTTTAATTTTAAACGTATATATTATAAATTAAAATATATTTAATTATAAAACATGTCGAAAAAATTTAAGAATATATCGTTTAATATCTTAATTATATTAAGAATAAAACGGATAAATTTAGAATAAAAAGTTAATTAATCTTTATAAATTCCTTAATAATATTATATTATATAATCGTTTAAAATTTTATTATTAATTTATTAAAAGTAAAAGTAGTTTTTTTATTTTAATTTATAAAAAAATATAAATATTTTAATTTTTTATTTATTATTATATGTAAATTTAATAAAAAAGTTATTTTAATATTAAAAAATATTATATATAAAATTAAAAATTAAATATTATAATTATTAAAAACATTATAATTATATAATTAAAGAATATTAATAAAAGTAATATTTAATTATAATTCGAAATTTATATTAAATATATAATAATTTTTTTTCACGAAAATAAAAACTAAATTTATAATGAATATTATATATTATCCTTAAATAAATAATTAATTAAAAAGAAAAAATTAAGAAATTAAGTTTATATTATAATATTATGTTATAATAATAAACATTTTATAAATTAATATTATTTTAATTTTATAATATAATATTAATAATGTTTATTTGTTTATTTTCGAAAAGTTATTAAATGAAATCGTTTTAAGTTTTAAATTAAAAATAACCTTTAATTTATTAAAAATCTTAGTTAATGCTTTTAATTACGAAATAATTAAGAAATAATATTAAAAAAAAGTAAAAAAAATAATTAATTATATAATTATAAACGCGAAAGTTTAATATAATAAAAAATATAAAGATATAAATTTTAAAATTAATAAAACGGTATATTTATAATTATATAAAAAATATTAATTATTAAACGTTAAAAATAGAAAATTTAAAATTTAGAAAATTAAACTTTTAATAATTACGAAAAAAATCGGAAATATAATATACGAGTTAAACATTCTTAACAATTAAAAAATTTATAAAATCGTAAATATATTTTAATTATATAAAATCCCGTAAGATTAAAATCTTTATAAACGTCGTATTTTTACGTTTAATTATATTATTATTAAAAAAAATATAAATAAATAATAATTATATAAAATAAAAAAACTATTATAATAATAAGTTAATAAATAAAAAAATAAAATAATATTAAAATATTTAATTTATTAGAAAAGTTTTTTAATTATTTACGATTAATAGTATACGAAAGAATTTTTATCGTAAAACGTTATAAAATTAATTTATAAATAAAATATAAAAAATCTTATAAACTTTAATAAAATAAAAACTATAAACCCATAAAAAACAATATAAAAAAACCTAATTAAACTAGAAAAAAAAATTCGATTTATTATTAAAATTACGATAATTTTTAACGTTAATAAGTTTTAATTTTTTAAACTTTAATCTTTTATATTACTTTTATTGTTATTTAAAAAAAATAACTTTATAATTCCATTACTTATTCGTAAAAAATTAAAACGAAAGTTAACGAAATGTTAACATTTTTTATAAAAAGCTAAAAAATTAATAAAATATAATAAATAATATAAAAAGAAAAAATATTTTATACGTAATTTAAAATTTAATATAAGAAATTTTTTTTTATATTTTATTTTATTTTAGATTTTTCTTTTATTTAATAATTATTATTTATTTTCTTATATAAATAACTTTACATTTATAATAATTTAAAACTATCGAAAAGTATTATTATAATTCGTAAAAAACTTAAAAAAATTATTAATAATTTATAAAAAGCTTTTTAAAAGTAAAAATAAATAATTATAATGGATAAAAATATATTTATGAACTTTATTATTTTAATTTTTAACATCCGATACTTTCGTCGCATAAGTAAGTGATGTTTAACTTCATCCGGTAATCGGGGAGTTGCGCCATTTTGTTAATCGAATATCATTTCAAGTATTTTATAGACTGACTAATATACTTGTGGCCGTATCGAAGCACACGTTAGGTTACGCCGTATACATTGATTGGAAAGGATGTATGCGCTGTTTGATAAGATTGGCCAAAGGTCCCGTGGCGGTGAGCGTATATGACTCTGATTATTAGTTAGCCAGGTTGACCCAAAACTACATCATGTTGTTAGAAGCTGTCTTGGCTGCCTACCTACCTAGGTAGGTAGGCGAATTTACTTTCATCTAAGAAGTTAAAGAACAACTTTTTGTGGTCGTGAGGCCTCACGTTCTACCTAGGTAGTCAGTAGATAGAGAAATAGTTCTAATGTCATCGACCATGTAATGGCAAAGTATCTAGGTAAGTAGCTGAGGTGTTCAACGTTGTTGAGAAGTAGGAAGCACTCAACAGAAATGTCCATTCGTATATACCTAGGTAAGTATGTACTTACCTACCTAAATATGTACTTATACAGAGAATCAGATATGGGTATGTGCATATATACCATCACTCACTCAAGATTGTTGAAGGTTACAGTACTCTTTAAATATGGATTGATAAACGATTCACCATGCCACTCTAGCCGATGGCTAATGACTGCAGGCGGTATATTAATTGAGCGTCAATAACTCCTAGCGTCACCTTGGCTAAGCAAGTTGTAATATCCACTCGATGTTTACATGTGGCCGTGAAGGCACACTGATTTGGGCGAGACACCTGTAGACATTAGGTAGGTACTCAATCCATGTCCTTTAAATAGAATAGGTACGGATGGACTTAGGTGTACATACTTGTATGCAGGTATGCCCGCTTACGACAAGTCGGGACTTAGATCCTAATCCTGGCGATACAATTGGGTGACTCCTATCTGCGCAATGTCCGGATGCACCTATGGTCACAACCTTGGAATACTTTGGTACCTAGGTAAGTACGTATTAACTACATAGTACAAGCCCCTCCATGCCCCGCGCAGGGACTCGCCAATTCTTGGCTGGAGCTCAAGGTGCTTCAGTAAAATCCATGAGGGTGGGGTTAATCCGTAACTTCTAACTTTTCTGAAAATGTCCAGACTTTAGAAATACCTCACGTAGGACGTAGGATTCCTTTAAAACTCTTCTTTGAAATACTTTCCCTCGATTTCGCATCTTCCTTTCCTTCTCCCTTTCCCTCTTCTATTCCCTAAATCACCAAAGCTCTCTTGGCTGTCGTATCAACAAACTCCTTTGCCACCTCAACACGCCACCTCAACATCCCACATTTCTATCTCGAATAGCACCTAGACCATGTCTACGACTTCTCTCGACCACCTCGCTTTAGGCGGCCGTGTTGAATGGCTTGCTAGTCTGAACACATCTACTGCCCCTAGCAAGAATGCTCATCGACGAACCTCTATTATTTGTACCATTGGTCCGAAGACCAACTCGGTCGAGAAGATTAATTCCTTGTCAGTCGCAACATATGCTTGTAATATGTGTGTGTAAAAGTGATAGAGGCTAACACAACGACACAATATCTAGACGAGCCACGGGTCTCAACATCGTGCGAATGGTGAGCATCCTGACAAGTTACAAGTAAATTAGCGAAGGTGTTAATTATATGTAGAACTTCAGCCATGGAAGCTACGAATATCATCAATCCGTCATTGACAACACTCGCGCCGCCGAGAAGGCTCAGAGTGGCCGCCAAGTTGCCATTGCCCTTGATACCAAAGGTCCTGAGATCCGTACAGGTGATACAGAACGTGGTGAAGACATCCCTATCAAGGCTGGTCACGTTCTCAACATTACCACGGACGAAAAATACAAGACCTCGTGCAATTCAGAGCATATGTATGCAGTAGCCTCTTTTTCTTCAAAGCTGACAACCCTAACCCCTCCTCTAACTAATATGTTTCGTAGGTACGTTGACTATGCAAACATCACCAAAGTAATCGAGAAGGGAAAGGTCATTTATGTTGACGATGGTGTGCTTGCCTTTGACGTGTTAAATATCAAGGACGACAAAACCGTTGAAGTGAAGTGCCGCAACAATGGATTTATTTCCTCCCGCAAGGGCGTCAATCTTCCCGACACCGATGTCGACCTTCCCGCTTTATCCGAGAAGGACAAGAAAGATCTAAGATTCGGCGTTCAGAACAATGTCGACATGGTCTTCGCCAGCTTCATTCGACGAGGCGAGGATATTCGTGCCATCCGTGAGGTTCTTGGAGAAGACGGAAAGCACATCCAGATCATTGCCAAGGTTAGCGCCAAATTATGATATTCCTATACATTCGGTCAATTCATTGCTAACTCGGTTACAGATTGAGAACAGACAAGGGTATGTTTCCAGCCTCAGAATCATCTTCCCCACCAAAGTTGTTTATTGTACCTCGTGTAGTAGGATCCAGCTTCGAAGCCTTCATGACTAGGTGTCGGTCTTATAAGATACTAACTAGGATCTCGCGCAGTTTGAATAATTTCGACGAAATTCTCAAGGAGACTGATGGTGTCATGGTGGCCCGAGGAGACCTAGGAATTGAGATCCCAGCCTACGAAGTATTCGCTGCGCAGAAGAAGCTGATTGCCAAGTGTAATATCGCCGGTAAACCCGTGATCTGTGCAACTCAGATGTTGGAAAGCATGATCACCAATCCTCGCCCAACCAGAGCCGAAATCAGCGACGTTGGTAACGCAGTAACTGACGGGGCTGACTGTGTCATGCTCAGTGGAGAGACCGCCAAAGGGTCGTATCCAGAGCTAGCGGTCCGCGAGATGAGCAACACGTGTCTCGCCGCAGAGAATTCGATCCCCTACGTCAGCCATTATGAGGAGATGGTTTCACTAACGAAACGTCCTACGAACGTTGTCGAGGCATGTGCTATGGCCGCAGTACGAGCGTCGTTGGACTTGAACGCAGGTGCGATCATTGTCCTATCCACTTCAGGAGATTCAGCACGATTGCTCTCCAAGTACAGGCCCGTTTGCCCGATTTTTATGGTGACTCGCAACCCTTCAGCCTCGCGTTACGCACACTTGTATCGTGGCGTCTATCCTTTCCTATTCAACGAGGCTAAGCCAAACTACGACCAAGTCAACTGGCAGGAGGACGTGGATCGCCGCATTAAGTGGGCTGTCGAGAGGGCATTAGGATTGGGTCTTCTTGGCAAGAGCGATACAATTGTTGTCGTCCAGGGCTGGAGAGGCGGCATGGGCAATACAAACACGCAACGAATTGTCAAAGCTGACCCAGAACACCTTGGACTAGGAATGATGCATTAGACACGAGATGCTCTCAGTACTCATTGTCGGTCTGCATGCTATTTGGTTTGAAAATGGCATCAGAATAGTATGGGTAATTTGTGGACAGTAAACAGGTAAATTGCTATTAAGGTAGTGATACAATAATAATTATTTGGGAAATAGAAACAAGATTCGTGATGTTAATAATGCCGGAGCTTATAATAACATCATAAGATTTCCGAAGTTATCTCAGCTAGCTTAGACTAGGTTTCCTTTATACCTTCCTAGCCATATTGCTTTTTAACTAATCAAATTTCTTCCCGCGTAAATAAAAAACTTAATTTAAGGATATTTGGTTTTTTTTCTTTTTTTATAATATTTCGAAAATAATTAAATTATAAATAACTTAATTAATTTTTTAAATAAAAGTTTTTAAACGATTATATTTAATTAATTACGTTAATATATATTTAATATAATTTATTATATTATATTACGACGTTTTATTTTATTTTTATTTTTTAAATATAAATTTTTTATTTAAATTATTAATTTTTTTATTTTCTTTTTTATAAAAGTTAATATTTAATTATAATTTAAAAAAAATAATATTTATCGAAAAATTACCGATATATTTATTATTCGCCGTAAATTTTTCGTTTTATTATTAAAAAATATTTTTAATAAGTTTAATTTTAATTAATTTTAAACATTTAATAAAAAGTTTTATATTATTTAAAACGTTTATAATACGTAATAAATTAAAAAAATTATTAAAAAAATTAAATTTTAAATAAAAATTAAATTTTTTTAATTAATTACGTTTTTATTAATGATTTTTATAAATTAACGAGTTAATTATAAATTATATAAAAATATTTTTTTTTATAATTAAAACGTATATAATTAAAAATTTTTCAGCCTTTTTTTTATTTTTCAAAGTACGGCTTTACGCGAGCTACGGGGACTTTAAAAAACAAAAAAAAAAGGCTGAAAAAATTTTTCCTCGCGGAAGGCGATATATGGGGGTTTAAGGGTAAAAGGGGGTTTAAAGGGAAAGGAAGCTGTTAAGTAAAAAAGGCAGTATCCGTCCGAAGGACCGAGAAAGTTTCGTTGCGATAATCAGTTCAAAAGTCAGTTCAACAGTCCCTAGATCAGTTCGTAAATCAGTCCCTGATCCAGTCCCTGGATCAGTCCAAAAGGTCAATTCAACGATTAGTTAAATCAGTTCTTAGATCAGTTCAACAGTCAGGAGATCAGTCAGTAAATCAGTCAATAAATCAATCCCTGGATCAGTTGTTAGGTCAGTTCAACAGTCAGTTAATCAGTACCTGGATCAGATCAACAGTCGATTCAACAGTCAGTAGGATAGTCAATAAATCAGTCCCTAGATCAGTTCAAAGGTCAGTTCAAAAGTCAGTAAATCAGTCAATAGATCCAGTCCCTGGATCTGTTCAGCAGTCAGTAAATTAGTCAGCAAATCTGGATCAACGATTAGTCAGGTCAGTACCGAAATCAGTCGAAAGGTCAGTCTCGAAATCAGTCCCTAGATCAGATCAAAAATCAGTCCCTAAATCAGTTCATAGGTTAGTTGAATAGTCAGATCAGTCCCTAGATCAGTTCGAAGTAAGTAAATAGATCTATAGATTCGTCAGTAAATCAGTCCTAGATCCAGTCCTGAATCCAGTCCCTGGATCAGTTCAAAAGTCAGTTCAACGGTCAGTTCAACAGTCAGTCAAATAGTCAGTAGATCAGTCCCTAGATCGGTTCAGCAGTCAGTAAATCAGTCCCTGGATTAGTTTTTATATCAGTTCAATCGTTAGATCAGTCCCTAGATGAATGCGACGTCAGTAAATTGGTCCCTGGTCCAGTCCCCAGATGCAATCAATACTTATCTAATAAATCAGTCGCCAATTTGATTGAATATTCAATTGAATAATCAGTTCAACAGTCAGTTCAAAAGTCGGTTCAAAAGTCGGTTGAAAAGTAGGTTGAAAAAGTAGGTAGGTGGGTAGGTTCAAAAGTAGGTAGGTTCGTAGGTAGGTAAATCAGTTCAATCGAAAGATCAGTCGAATCGAAGCTTAGATAATCAGTTGAAGGGGATGCACCCAATCAGAGACGCGGATGAATTTAAGGTTTTGCCAAGGCTTGGCAACGCGCTAGAGAAGAATTGAGCCAATCAAGTGCGTAAGATCTCTTATCAATTACTTATCAGTTTCTTATTAATTACTTATCAGTTTCTTATTAATTACCTTATCAATTTCCCATAATAATTTCTAAAGTTTCAGCGTAAAAATGTCCTTCGGACGGATAATAATATTATTAAACGTATATATTTTTAATTAATTTAATTTTTTATTTTAAATTATTAATATATATTTTTATAATAATAAAATATAATATTAAATTATTAATATATTTTTTCGTTTTAATATATATATTAATTATAAAATTATTATAAAATTATTAAAAAAAATAAAAAATTAATTAAAAATATATTTTAATAAATTAATTTTTATTACGAATTTAAGTTTAATAAAATTATAAATTAATTTTAAAAGCGTTATTTATAATTTAAATGTTATATTTATTTACGATAATTTTAATTTTAAAAATAAAGTTCGAAATTTAATTATAAATTAAAAAATATTATATAAAACTTTATTAATTATTTTATCGTAATTAATTTAAATGTATATAACTTTTTTTTTAATTTTAATAATATATAATAAGTTTTTTTTAACGAAATTAACTTATAATTTATATTATGTTATTTTTAAATTATAAAATTAAAATTATTAAATATTATTTTATTTATTCGATTCGATTTATTTTTAACGTTTTTTTTAAAAAAAAACGCTTTTTTTTTATTATTATTAAATTTAAAAATAACGTTAATTATATTTTATAAATGTTTATTATTTATAAAAACGAAAAATTAATATTAAATATATATTAAGTTTATAACGTTTTATTTTATAATATATTTAATTATAAAAATTATAAAAAAAAGTTAACGTTAATATACGAAAATTAAAAAATTATTTTTTTTATTCGAATTATTATTATTATTTAATTTAAAGTTAAAAATATTTATAATTAAAAGTAATAAATGTTTTTTATATTAATATTTTTTTATATTATTTTTAATTTTATTTAATTAATTTTTCGTAATTTTTAAAATTTATTAATAAAACGAAACGTGTAATTTTTTAAACGTAATTAATATATTAAAAATATTTACGTGAAATATTATAAAGTTTTTTCGTTATTACGTAATGTTTTTAATATTCGTATTATTATTTTTTTAATATATAATTTTATTAATATAAATATTTTATTTAACGAAAAAATTTATTTTAATTATATATAAAAAGTTTTATAATAAATGAATTTTAAATTATTTAAATAAAAATTATTAATAATATAAAGTTAATTATTTAAAACTTAAATATAAATTAAATAATATAAAAAAAAAAATTTTTTTTATTAATATTAAATTTCGAAATTATTATTAATATATAATGATTATTAATTATATATTAATAATGGTTATTAATTATATATTAATAATGGTTATTAATTATATATTAATAATGGTTATTAATTATATATTAATAATGGTAATTATTATATAATTTAACGATTATAACGTATTATAATAAATTATTTTATAATTATTATTTTTTTTTATAATGAAAAAAATATTAATTATAATTTTAAAAAAAAACTTTAACCGCGTAATATAAATACATAATTAAATCCGCGTAATAACGTTAAAATAACGCGAATAATTTTAATTTCATTTTAATATTTTTTTATAATAAAGAATATATATCGTAATTTATATTTATAAATATTATTACCGTTTTTCCGCGATATTTATAATATACATATAAATATATTATATAATATATTTTTATTAAAATTTAATTAAATTTAATATTTAATTTATAATACGCGTTATAATAATTTTACGTTTAATAAATTACTTTTTTTTTTATTTAAGTAACGATTTTACCCTCGTATAATTAAACATTATTATGTTAAAAATAATTTATTCGTTACTTTTTTTTAAACTTTTTTATTAACATTTTTAAATTTAAATATATAAATTTTTTTACTTTTATTAATTTTATTTACTTTTTAAATTATTAAATTTTAAACATTTTTAATATATAATAAATTATTTATTTAATTCGAATTATTAATTATGTTTAATTTATTATTTATAATCGATTTATTATTTATAATCGATTTTTTATTTATATTTTTTAGTTTTTTACTTTTAATATTTATTTTTAATAAAAAACGCGGACGTTTATACGATTAAATTAAAACATTTTTATAATCGTTAATATTATTATTAAAATCGTTTTAATTATATATATTATTAAAATAATTATTATAATAAATTAAGTTAAATATATTTTAAAAAATATTAATATTATATTTATTTTCGTTATTATTTTATTTATTCGAATAAAAACGTTTTATTTTAATTAATTTATTAATATAATTTTTATTTTATAATTAAAAATAATTACTTATAAATTTTTTTTAAACTTTTTCAATTTTATTATTTTTTTAAACTTTAAATATATTAAAATATATTATTTTATTTACGTTTAATTTTTTAAAAATTAACATAATTTATTTAATAAAAATTAATTACGTAAACCGAGTAAAAAAATACTTTCGAAATAATTTTTTTAATGAAAAAAATAATTTATTATAATAATATATAATTAATTTTAAGTTATTATTAATTAATTTATTCGAAGTTATAAACGTATAAAAACGTAATTAAAGTTAATAGTTTTTTTAACCATTTAATTTAAAGAAAAAAATAAAATTATTATAATTAAAAAATTAATAAATATTTTTACGAAAAAGTAAAAAATTAAAATAATTATAAAGTAAATTATTTCGTAAAAAATCTTCGATCGTGACGTAATTACGCATATAATTTCTTTTAAATTATATTTTATTTAACGTTAATTTTAAAATAATATAATAAAATTTTAACTCGTAAACCACCTCGTTAAAACGATAAAATTTATTATATAATATTATAATTAAAGTTGAAATTTAATTATTAATAATTAATATTAACCATGATTAAAATTAATTTAATTAGTTTTAGCTTTGATTAAAATTAAGCTTAATTAATATTAACTTTAATTAAAATTAACTAAGTTTAATTAATTAATAATTAAGAAAAAACTAAAAACTAAACTTTTATTTTATTTTTATTTTAAAAATTAATTTCTCTTTTATTATTAAATATTTTTAAATAAGAAAAATAGTTTTAAAATTAAAAAATCAAGCTTTATTTATTAATATAATGTATATATTATTATATATTTTATA